CTCAGTATGCTAATGTTAATCCCTCTCTCTTTCTCTAAATAACAATCGTCAGGATAAAAATAACTGTGGAGACTTCAGTGCTTTAGTGCAGGATTGGCCGGCCAAGTCTGGCATTAACACACTGTAATGAGATTTAGGAGGAATATGAAGAAGTGAGGGCAGAAATCCATGTTATGACTTCTCTTGTGACAGATCTCCTCCATCCCTGAGGATGAAGACAGATACATCCGCTCCATATGCCCTCGCTCCATTCATCCTTCTCTCCGTTATATCCCAGATTTCCTCCTGATATTACGGCTCTTCCAGGGACAGTTTTTCTCCTGCTCATTTTAGCCCATAGCCCCGTTTATTACCTATTTTCTTTCTTTCTTTCTTTCTTTCTCTTGTCCTTTCTTTCTTTCTTTCTTTCTTTCTTTGTCTTGTCCTTTCTTTCTTTCTTTCTTTCTTTCTTTCTTTCTTCCTTTCTTTCGCCCTTTCTTTCGGCCTTTCCTTCTGTCTTTCTTTCTTATAAAAATAGCCCATTTTGAATTCACTGTTTTTGTGATGTCACAGAAAACAATCCATTTTCATATAGCTGCCTATAGAGGCACAAAAGAGGGCAGCCAATCAGAACCGAGCTAATTTACATATATCATTCTTACAGACACAGTAACAAAAACAGCTTGTTTAATTTTAAAGGATAAAGAGAGGTTGGAAAATGGTCATATAAAAATGAGTTATAACTGTTTTTGGTATATAAAACCACACAACTTCATATATTCCTCACAATCTTAAGGGAAAGATAAAACATGAAAATGTAGGATATGGTGTCTTTATAATATATCCTATTTTTAATTAAACAAAAATAATGATATGGAAATCTCACAAATGTTAAAATAATAGATATCATTTTAATTAAATTGTTGCTGTCACAATCTCCAAAATGGTAACTTCACAGTAAAAGGTAAAAACGTTCTTAATTTTTAATGCAACTTACCTAAAGTTAAAAACAAGAAGTAAATTTGGACTAGTCCTGTTCCATTCAGCATCAAATCTTCACTCAATATAATGGGCAGCTGCTGTGTTCAAATGATGTAGAAACCTAAAAAGAGAAAAATTAGATATGATTTTGATATAACAATGACAAAGAATACTAAATAATAGAAATAACTGAAGATATATAATGATATTCTGTTTATATTTTGGAATAGACTGACAGCATATAACAACGTCATGTCATTTTCGTTGGAGATACATGTTAGATGCATACTAAATGTCCTGTAGGCCACAGTGAGGAGAGGCCTGTAAGGTATCTTTGTGCAGTAGGGACCTTGGGGCCTTTTATAGCTGTTACTGGGCAGTGAAAAAGTAGTCTGTTGGCAGGTTGGATGGGCATGCCTCATTACCTCTGCAAAGTCATTTGGAGTATGGCGCTACCCTCAGGACTGTTAAGATGGCCTGCTTGATTTAGCCTTGTTTACTGTGGTGTGGTAGTTTATTTACAGTATGTTTTAGATGGAGGGTCCAGATGGATTAATCTGCTTTTTTAGGAATGTGTGAGCCGGGCAAATTAATAGATTAGTTTCATTGATGTTCAAACACCACTAGTGCAGTCAGTGCCCTTACACTAATGAGACTAATAATTTTACATAAATTAACACACACAGAATAACACAATGCTGTGTTAGACAAGATAAATTCTGACATTGCTCAGAGTGAAAATGTTAAATATGCGGTGTTTAGTCTGCTCATGGATGTTTACTGAGTGGAGAGAGTGTGTGTGGCATGCAGCCTCAGTGTTACTGTGACAGCTGGACACACACAGACACATGTTTAAACTTAAACACACCACATACTAAACAGAGGCGTGTGTGAAGACAGTGGAATTAAACATGCTCACACTCTCACTTCTCCTGTTTCACTGGAACTCTACATTTGTGTTTGTAATGTTTTGACAGTTGAGTAATTGTTATCGATCCTCCGCTCAATGATTGTAGAAGCATCTGCTGCTTTAAAAGCTGTGACTTCTGGAGCACTTTAAGCCATTATCTGAGGAATCCTTCGTTTTAAACCTGTCGATTGTTGTAAAACAGCAAATATTTGGTGTTCTAGTGTTTCTGTCAAATAAACAAGTATCAATGCGGCTAGGAATCTGAGCAGCTGAGAAGAGTGTACTGTGTGTCTAAGAGAGAGAGAAAGAGAGAGAGAGAGAGAGAGAGAGAGAGGAGGAGGAGGAGTGCATGTGTAGAAGCTGACAAAAAACAGTGCCATTTGCTACATTTATACACACACACACCCACACACATTTCAGCGTGTGCTCCTGTGTGTGCTGGTGTGCTCTGGAGGCGTCGTGGGGGGATTTGTCAGCAAGTCAGTTTCATTACACCCACCAATTACAGCAAGAACAGTGATTTCACTGCAGCTGCTGGAGCTTTCTCTCCCTACTGCACCTTCACATCCATCCATCCTTTCATTTATCTACCCATCCAGCTATCCAGTTCCATCCATCCATTCATTTATCCATCTGTTCAACCAGTCACTATCCATCCACCCATCCATCCATCCACCTATCCATTCCTTCATCATCCATCCATCCATCCATTACCCATACATCTGTGCATCCATGCATCTATCCAGCCATCCGTCCAGTTTCCATCCTTTCATCCATCCATCCATCCAATTAGTCACCATCCATCCATCCATCCATGCATCCATTTATCCATCCATTACTTCATCATCCATCCATCCATCCATCCATCCATCCATCCATTTATCCATTTTTCATCCATTCATCCATCCATCCATTACCCATACATCTGTGCATCCATGCATCTATCCAGCCATCCATCCAGTTTCCATCCTTTCATTCATCCATCCATCCATCCATCCATCTATCCATCCATCCAATTAGTCACCATCCATCCATCCATCCATCCATCCATTCATCCATTTTCCATCCATCCGTCCATCCATCCATCAATCCATTCATCCATTCATCTGTGCATCCATGCATCTGTCCAGCCATCCATCCAGTCACTTTCCATTTATTATTCATTCATGTGTGCTTCCATCCATCTATCCATCCGTCCATCCATCCCTCTATTATCCATCCATGTATCCATCCAGCTATCCAATCACTTTCAACTGCCAATTCAGCTGCAAAGATTTAGAAATGTTATAATCAATTTTAAAAAAACAAAATATTCAATAAAATATGGTCATGTTTTTGGACAAAATAAAATTCTTGGACCATTTTTAAATGGAAAAATCCAAGGGAAAAAACTCATGGTGTATTGTTTTTATTGTCTACTTTGTGCTGCGCTGTAAATAGTTATTCCTCACTTTTGTATATTGTGGATTTAACACACAATTTTGAAAGGTACAGTTGAATCGAATTGTGGAAACCTGATTCTTCATGATCCATTAAATCATTGGACACTATTTTTCCTAATGAAAGACCACCTTTTCACCACATCACCTTTGTTTATCAAGACCCAACATCCTCCACTGCTTCTATGAGACTGTGTGCAGAATGGAGCTGAATCAGTTATTATCTCCAAGCAGCCACCATGTAGCCGTCTGAGCTGCGTCAGTGCAGCTGTGCTCTACCAAGCAAGACTGTGCAGTTGGCACTGTGATGTGCTTCACAACTCAGATGTTGTCATATCTTGATCATGCTTGAATGCAGTGAATAGTTAAAGATATACCAGTGATGATGAGGGGATTCTTGTCTTGGTGTTGTGTGGGTGTGGGTGTTATCGCCAGAATAACCAAGCGTTTAGTGTTTAGCTTGACTGCCATAAGATCATTCCTGCACTCCCACCACCACCTGGCATTTCTGCTGCCTGATCATTTTGTGATATTGAGTTCACACACCCACCACTACTGAAGCAACAGGCATACACAGGAAATCCAAGATTTAATATCACTTTCAGAATACTTTAAAAGGCCTGTATACTGGAAAAGCATTTTTTCTTTTTTAAATACAGAAGTTTATGTTCTATATTAATACTATTACAGTTGTTCTATTCACCACACAGTCTACACAGTCTGTACATGAAAACTAGTTTGCAAAAACAGCTCGTTTTGGAAGCATCATGTTGGTGATGTCACAACTATAATACATTATGTGAGAATACATTACATAATACACAATACATTACATATGTCCACCCATTTAGCCTACAGCAATGTAGTCTATTCACATTAATGTGACAGGGAATGTTGTTAAAGCAGATGGTCAATTGAAGCTACCAAAGGGTCCAGTCATCTGAAAGGAGTTTGTTTTTTCCAACGTCCCTGAGGGTTTCAGTACTTCAGTTTGACATACTGAACCCGATGAAACCTGACTGCTCATGTTGGGTGACGTCCACTCTAAATTTCATGTTAGGGTTCTCACAGCCTGCTTCTATGTTTAAACATATTTTACACTGCTTTAGTTTAACTCCTTATTTTATCCTTCCTCCTTACTATCACTACCTTACTACGTTTTAATCTGGCATGCTGGAGTCAGCCACTTATGTTGTTAACAGAATTTAACAGCTTGTGAGAAAATATATGCGTAGGAACTAACCAGCAAATTGACTGAGGAGTGGACAGGACAGTGCAGCCAAAGGAATGTTTGTAAAGATTTTTTATGTTGTATGTTCAGTATGGTTTTGTAATATGTTTTAAGTATAGAAATTTTTGACCACTGTTTGACCAAATTTATTTGGACACCCCTCCTAACTATTGAGTTCCAGTGTTTTGGCCACATTCATTGCCATATAAAGCCAAGCACATAGCCCTGCAGTCTCCATAGACAAACAAATTTCATGAACTGACTTGTGGCAGTAGAATGGGTGGTACTGAAGAGCTCAGTGACTTTAAACGTGGCACTGTCATAGGATGCCTTTTTTGCCAAGTCACTTCTATTCCCATTGATTTTTGCAAATGCTTGAAATGTTCTTGTATTGTTATGCAATGTTCTGAACACACAATTACAGCATCTGTGGTGCATAAATTATTTTCTTGTGTTTCAGATTCAAAGATGATTTAAGATTCACAGCAGCATTCCTATAAGCCTGTTTTACCACCAAGCTTTCTCCTGGTCATCATTGGGACAGAGGACATCTACACTTGAGATAAAATGGCTGACACAGTGAAAACATGCCAACACCTGCTCTTAGCTCTCACTCTACTTCCTCTGGTAAGTAACTTGTACATTTACCAAGTCCTGCTCACAATGTCTGAATGGCTGCCGTACCTTGTTGACAGTGAATATAAAAAAAATTCAACCAAGATTGCAAAGGCAATTTAGAGTTCATGATGTTGAAAAGGGTTGGGAACTCAAGGCTTCTCTCAATTATGTTCGATTTCAGTTAAAATAAAACAATTCTCGATGCATCTGGGCTTTTGATTGCTATAACCGACTTTCCGTGCTTGTCATTAACCAATTTTTGTTGTATTTGTCATTAACAAGTAGTGTTTACTATGGTTTCATGCCTTTGTTTTGTATTAATATTTAAGAAAACTGTGATCAGTTAATGACTTCAAACATGCATGCATTAGAGATCTTCAATTTTTTCCCTTTTCCTAGCCGGGCTGTTCCAAAGTATCCTACTTTACAAAGTATCTTGCTGTGCATAAGCTTATTTTACAGTGGCAGAAGCGCAAAGCCTATATAAAAGTCTTTCAATAGAGAATCGCGATGCATCAGAATCGATTATTTTTCCCCCTTATAATGATGAGGAACTGCAACTGCACATGGACGTGTTGCTGTCATTTTTTGCCATACAGCAGAATCTTGCCTCTTGAGACAGTGAAAATGAACTGTCGAACTGACTTTGCTTTTCCATTTTAAATTCAGCATTGTACAGCATACACAAGAATGTAACACAAATACTTGATTTGCCATTGAATTTCAATGCACACTCACTTATGAAATGTAATTGTAAACACAGCATTTCATTAGAATTGTAGTAGGATTTGAGTTTGAGTAAAGTTGAGAGAATGCTGTCACGTCTTATCATTATGATGTAGTGGTATCACAAGATATGGCAGCATTCTAACATATTCTAAAATATCTTAATCCTAAATAAAGGTCTGTTAATGAGACAGAGGTGTTAAATATCCTGAGGGAGAGTGTAGTGATAGAGTACAGACAGAGAGAGAGAGAGAGAGACTCTTAGGCTGTCAAAACATTCTGTGTTTTATGTCAGGTTATGTCACCTTGCAGTTCTTTTCAGATCACACACCTCAGCCATTTTGTTTCTGGCAGCTTGCTGTCTCCAGCATGACTGCTACTCTCACAAACACACTATTCCCTTCCAACAGAGGAGGAGAACAGCTTTTATTTGATACAAACTAGGGACATGGTGACATGACCGTTTCCTATCATGCAATCATGTTTTCCCTCATTACAGCAATATTGTTAAAATTTACTGAAAGATTTTTAAACACACTAATAGACACTGAAATCATTTCACCACAGGTATGATATTAATATAGGTATTTATTAATCCTCTGGGGTTTATGGGCATTTTCTTGATTTTGTAGATACATTTCTAAATTCACCTGTAAAGGCACTTGCATACAACCTGATACTCACATGTTATATATCAAAATGTTCAATCTGAGAGGCAGATGGCGTGTATCTCAAAATTCTTTTTATTGCCTCATGACACTGATTGTGAGTCATGCATGATCTCGCAATAAAATGGAATTGAAAGGGCGACGCTACAGATTCAGGAACTGTTTGAACTGTGTTTCTATGCTGTGTTATTGTAAAGATATAAATAAAAACAACTAGAAACATCTAATTTGATGCGCCGAGGGTTACATCCTTCACATTTCACAACACCAAAAATCCACTACCACTTTAATCCAGTTTAAATAAAATGTAATTTCACCAGCACTCTTACTGAAAGTTTTGTTTGTGAAAGCCACACTTTCTGCTTATGGTCGCACTATGAAAAGAATTTGTATGAGAACTTGAGTTGGAGAGCTAGAGTTCTGGATGGATTCTGCTTTAAGCTAGATAGCTAGATTCCTGCTGATGAACAGAGGTGGGACTGAGGAACAGGGAGAAGATGGCTTTTCAGAAAAGGCTGGGAAGATGCTCCTTTCTGTGGCTCTCTTCTCCTGTTTCAGCATGGCAGGTTATGTGGTAACGCCACACGGATTCAGAGGAAAAAAACATGCTTGAGTTTCTGGAGAAGCTTTATTCTTGCTGTGGTTTGGTAGTTCTTTGTTTGGTTTGGTAGTTTTGCTATAGGTTTAAATCAGGCCAGAATAACAGTATAAAGGTATTTAAAAAAGATTATGGTATTTCAAAAATATGATGTACCAAATTTCTACATATTTCTCCAAATATCTATTACGAATTTAGACTGGACATGGGCTAAAAATAAAAGAAAACAAAGAGTATGAGACAAATATGATTACTTTTGTATGTCTTGAAGCTGTGCACAGCCCGTTTTCTGCTATTTAAATCATCCAGCTTGATTGCCAATCACAATACATGCAGTCGAGTTAGTTGTGATTTGTCTACAGTTATTGTGGATAAGAAGTGTTGTTAACACGACTAACAGAATCAGATTATGCTTTCAGAACTAACTGTTGTATAAATAGCATTTATGCTGACTACATATAACAACATACATTAATTCATAGTCTCATTTCATTCATGGATCATTAATCAATTACTGTCTCATCCTTATTACAAACAAACCTGTCCTTTCTCCCCTTGCTCTACTTTCGGCACCACAAGCAGCAGAGAAGCACACGTCCGCGGACACATTTACGTCACCCGCGCGCTGGCACCAAACAAGGCTCTGGCATCCAATGAGCTCTGGCACCAGACGGGCCAAATGTAAACTGAGCAGGAGCCAGCACAGTTCTGCTCGACTGAGTGCTCCAGGCAATCAGGGACAGGCTATTCTCTCCCAGGGCTGTATGTGTGACCACTGCATGTTAACTGTTGTCCCTCTGATCACTCTGCATCATTTTAATGTGCTATGTTGAAGCGGTTGTTGTGGGATTTAAAGACTGTAATGAACTCTTGGTATGGCTTTTGGTTTATGTTAAAGTCTATGTTTCATAAAAGTATTGTGTCGTAGCCAAGTAGATAATCCAATGGCCTACTTTAGTCATGTGGAATGTGCTTCTAAAAGCGGTTTGTCCAACCTATAAACCTAAATTCTCTTTTCATAACATTACCACTTTGGAAATGCAGCATCAGTTTTTGCTGTTTAGATTGCAGATCATTCTCAGCCCCTTGGGTCTATCAAGATGTAATATTGTTGTGCATGTTAAGCCTATTGGAGATGTTAGAGGGCACAGTTTTGAATTTCTTTTTGAAAAAAAAAAGCCTGTTGGTTGTCATTTAAGTTGAGGGTTAAAGCGATGAAGTGCTGTGTTTGAGTCCAAACTCTATAGTATCAAGAGGCCGCAGGTGGACTTTTACTGATCTGCAGTGTCTGTGTATGTTTTACATTGTTAAATCAGGTGGCCATATTTTCTACTAGGAATTTACTGTAATTATTTAAAATCTCTTACATAAGGATGTCTTACTTAAGGAAGATTTCAATCAGTCATCATGACTTTCTTTTACTGACTGTACTCGGAGATCTAGACAGAAAATATTTTGTAATAAATGTCTAAAAACAATCACATAACCTTGAATCACATAACTATTGTAACAACTTTAATGATGGGTGGAGGAAGGATGCTGGGGGCAGGTGTGAAGAGGGAGAGCTTTTTCTTATTTATGCACAACACAAAAACCACTCGGCTTTTCAGCCCACAGATAAATTAAGACAAGACGCTCGCTGGAACTTTTCAGTCCTTTTTTCTTTCTTGTTCAGTTCAGTTCAGCTCTGCTCAGTTCAGTTCAGTTCAGTTTAGTTTGGCTCGGCTTTCACGCCTTCACTGGTCTCCTTCTCTCTCTGGGCTCTGCCACCTACTGAGAGAAGAGATGACTATAAGTAGGCTGGCAGCTACTTAGCCCGCTGGTTCAGCCCGACCGGCTTCTCTGTCCTGCATTCGACGCTCGGCCATGCCCCTTCTCCACAACTATCTATCTCAAAAGACCTCTGCACAAACATTTTATGTTTAGATTAAGTGATTTAGCAGACGCTCTTATCTAGAGTGACTTACAAAACATGCAACAGTAGAAGCCAAAGCATTGCAGAGTACCTGGAAATACTACAAGAATCTATAACCTGAGAGACAATTGCAATACCATAGCTTGATGCAGCAAATAAATACGAGTGTATGTATAGAAGAGAATGAATTAAATGCACAACAGTTCATTCCACTACTGAGGGGCAAGGACCTAACCTTATGGCCTTTTAAGTATGAATGTATGAAGAGCCCAGAAATCAAAAGCCTAAGCTTTTATGCAGGTGTGTAGTTCTGAACCAAGGTGCTGAGGTACAGCAGGACTGAGCCTTTTGAGGCCTGGAATGTATGAACCAGAACTTTGTATCTGATTCTTGCTTCCACAGGAAGCCAGAGAAAAGATCTCAGGAGAGGCGTCTCATGGGAAAACTTAAGGGTGTTATGGACCAGATGAGTCACATCATTCTGAATACTCTGTAGAGGAGAAATGGAGTATGAGGAAAGGCCTGCAAGGAGCCACCCCTGCCATCAGGAAGAGTTGTAGTCTCCTGATGTTGTATATTAGGAATCTGCAGGATCTCATAGTAGATTTTACGTGATCAGGGAAATTAAGATGAGTCAGTAGTGTTAGAGAGGTCCACTCTTGGGGAGGTAGATGAGTTCTGTCTTGTCCAGATTCAAAAAGATGTGAGAATGATAGTTGGATATATTCTGTGAGATGTTGGAGGTGGCTGGAAATGAGAAGTACAGTTGGGTGTCATCAGCGTAGCAGTGATAAAAGGAACTATGGTGACCATTGTTGATCATTGATCCCAGTGATTTAGTGTATAAGGAGAACAGAAGTGGACCAAGGACTGATCCCTGGGGAACTCAGCTAGTGAAGCTGCTGTGCAAGGCTGAGAGAGAGCTGTGGTGTTCTTGGTCCAGCAGAGAGTTCCAGTGCCAAATAAATGGAGCTGGAGTCATATCTGCTATACTGTCTACTGATATGATCAAAAGAGTCAAAACTCTTTAAGCAGAGTTTAAAGTCTTTAAGCAGGTGGTCCTTTTCCTCTAGAGCCTATCTTTTAAGACCTACCAAAAGAT